GAGACACTGACTAGGACTTGCTAAAGATGGAATTTAGACAAATCAATACATAAGTTAATTCCATAAGGGGAATTAGAGGAGAGTTCAATATATGTGCAGGTTGTGAGGGAGAAGTAGCAGGAGAAATTGTAGGGAGCTGGCAGGGGCGATGGACAATGCATGTGAGTGTGGCGAATCTGAACCTATACCTAAAGCATGATCATGATAATAACATGCAAATAATGGTAAGGGAGCCAAAAGAGATGTAGGGGATGGCAGTGGAAGGGCTGGAGAGAGTGGTGTTGAATGGTGTAAAGTAACGGGTATAGTGGCAACAAAAAACTGTGTTAGTGGGACTGCAATCTGTTCAAACTTACCAAGAGGAAAAACCATTATCCTTTAAATCCTGCTCCTCTTAACCCATTTCAACCATCTCCACCCTCTAAATAAGAAAACAACCAACCATCATTTTCTCTTCACCAAATCAAAGAAATAGACATATTTCCTCATCCCTCTTGGTCTCCACTATACCAACCATCACAAACATCATCAACTATAGCTAGTAAGAACCCCTTCGAAGACTCACTGTCCACCATAACACCACCATCAAAATCCAACACCATTAGCCTTCAACCTCTTCTTCATTTTGTTTTTCTCAAACACAAGTACACTTGAAACCACTAACAACGGTATCCTCATGGCAACACCCAGCCTCCTTCACATGTGATAGCAGTAGCAGCTACCTAAAGAATAAGAAAAGAAAAGGCAAACTGAGAGGAAGAAAGAATAAGATCTAAAAAAAAAAAGAGGTAAACGCTATTTTTAGTGTGTTTTTTTTTTTTTGTCTTTCAGGTCAGGTGACACTCACCACTAGTACAAGACGAAGGAGAAGATGAATTTGCTTTAGATGCACCTTGTTTTCCATCTCCCCAACAGTAGCGGCACGTGGTTCCACATGTTGTTAGTGATGATAGCATGTGGGTACATGCATCGCCACTATTTCTTCAGCCCCAAAATCTTCCAACATTGCTCCCGAGCTCTAACAACTTCTATAAATTATTTTTGACCTTGGGAAGTTCCATTTTGCAATATTTTATATTATTGTTAGAAATTTAAATTTTTGATGTTTTGTAAACATGTTTAATTTTTTAGCATCCCAGTCCATGAATCTGCATTTGTGGTGAAAAATAAAAACTCATCATGTACATCAAATCAATTTAATTTTAATTGTCCCGTGACAAGACTAAAAGATTGATCTCTTCTCCCAAGTGCAGGAGTGTCGAAGTAATAAATAACCCGGCAAGACCAGGGTCGAACCACAGGGAGGTTAATTGTACAAATTATAAAAGTAGTAGTAGTAGTAGTAGTAGTAGTAGTAGTAGTAGTAGTAGTAGTAGTAGTAGTAGTAGTAGTAGTAGTAGTAGTAGTAGTAATAATAATAATAATAAAGAAAGAGAAGAAGAAGAAGATGATGAGAACTTTGAGATGGAATATTAATGTAACGATTAAACAATGATAATAACAAATGTCAAGGTTAGAGGTTCCACTAATGGTATATCAAACAAGTATAGTATAAACTCTTATTATTGAATTGGAAACCACACACAAAGGAGGTTCCAATCAGATTATATATTGTTAACATGATTACATTAGTCATCTTATTCAATTAATGCTAATACTTGTAAATCTCGTCAAGCATTCATGATTATAACTTATGTTAACAACAAATCAAGTTCCTTTCATAGCTCAGGTGTCGGTTATACCATACATTATGGGCTATGAAAGTGCCAAGCATTTGTTGTACCAAGTGTTATACAACATAAATCAAGATTAGTCATTTAACAAGCAAAGTATTAAAGAGTGAACAAGATAGCAAATATAAAACATGTTAGTATCAAACATTAAAGTCCATATTAAGTTTACATTATACTTATTCTTACACCATTAGTGTAACCTTTTCACCTTGACATAATTAACTTAGCTAGACATAATGAAAGAAAGCAAAATAGATAAACAAAATAAGAACATAAAAGTTAACTAAGTAAAGGAAAGGAAATGAAAGGCATAAACTTAATATTAATGAAAACAAAGCATAAAAAATACAAAGAGAGAAAGGAAGAGCATGATCTTGATCTGAACACCAAGATGCCTAAATGCATGGCAAATGCCTCCTTTTATAGGCCAAAAATGGGAACTATTGATTTGATGACTAATTGATAAGTGGGTGACCAACTTTTGACTTGGTGACAATCCTTATCTTCTCTTGTCTGCCCAAAACGTCATTGATAACGTCAAAATTGGAGCCAGTTGCAAACATGAAAGTTGTAGGCAATTGTCTCAGCTTTCTTGTGTAAAAACTTCAGCTCATTTGGACTTCTAGAACTCCAGATATGGCCAAAATACCGAACAGTGCTCGGGCTGGAAGACAGATTCGGGCTTCTTTGTTGTTGCTACTATTTGGACTTGATAATGGCCTTTTTAGATCTTGGGCTCCATATGAAAGTTGTAGGCCTATGTCTTACCTTTCCATCCATATAAATTGGACCTAAATCTGAGATCTGTAGCTCCAGATATGACCCAATTACCGAACAGTGTTCCGATTTGGATTGCACCGACATCTCTTTTCTAAGTTTGGCCATCTCTTTATCCTTCCAATTTAAGTTCTTAAAGTCATCAATCAATCCTTTCATTTATGTGATAGGCCTGAATTTAAAATGAATATTTACCCAAATTAAAGGTATCTTATATTATTAGATATATTATTATAAAACATGTTTTGGTTAAGGAGTTATTAATACTTTAAGTGCAAAATGATGATATAAAACCATGATAAAAATGCACTTTTAAGTACTAATCACACCCCCCAACCAGCTTATTACTAGTCCCTAGTAATCAAAGCGTAAAATAGAAAAACAATTTGCAAATTTCACAAAGCAAGGTATTCATCATTTAACTTCCATTAATCTATCCAGATAAACAAACTCTCATTAAATTTATATAGCTGCTCAATACCTCTTAACAACATATTAATAAACCTTTCTTTTGTGTTCAATGTATCAACACATAATTATGGGGCTTTTCTTGGAATAAAACAAAATTTTTGTTCTAATGTTTAAGGTTAACTTTTAAGTTCTTAATGTCTTTTTTTTTTAAATATATATACATATAATTTAAAAACATCATGCATCTTTAACCCATGTAACGTACTTTCAGCTAATGACTCCCAGACCAGTTGGTCTTCGGGCATTAGGTGTTGAGACACCCCTACGAGCTTAGTAACTCGGGTCGCAGATACTGATATGTAGATAGTGCAATGTTTGATTTCCTTAAGCTTTTCTCCTCAACCCATGTAACAAACGTTGGGCCAATAGCTCCCAAGTCAGTTGACTGTAGGGTATTAGGTGTTAAAACACCCCTTCAGGCTTAATTGCTTAGGTTTAAGAATCATTTTTTCTTTTTTCTTTTTTTTTCTTTTTTTTCATGTTTTTTTTCTTAATTATATACAATCCCTTTCCCTTAGTTGTTACCTTTAACAAAAGAACATAAATAATGTAATAATCCAATATGCAACCCACAATCATATGTTAAAGTGTGTGTGTGTAAATTAAGGTTTAAGAATACATGTTAAATAAGTATGCGAGCAGAATTAAGTGATAACAATGCGAGAGTTTGTAAATCTGAATATTTCAGGAAGTATTATAATAGACCTTGTTAAGAATGGTTACTAAGATGCGACTCAAGAGTCACTTTAACAAAAGAGCTCCTTTACTCTACCATCCTAGTAACAACAATTATGCGCATGCTTTATGAAATGAAAAACAATTTTTTTTTTTATCAACTACTACCCTCTCCCCCCAACCAAAACGAGACATTATCCTCAATGTTTTAAGGTAGAAAGATAGAGTATAGAAGATATCACCTGAAATAACGAACACCAACAAACCTGAAACACACTAAAACAAAAATAAGATATAACAAAACACAATAATAAAACCAAAAGACACAAAAATTCACAAATGAAGGCTCAAATCCAATCTAAGCTTTTTACGGCTTTCCTTAGATGACCAATTTGTGCGACTCATGGAAGGATCAATCACAGGAATGAAAGATTGTAGTTGGTCAATCAATTGTTCAACAGTAGCAGCAGAGATTATGATTTGTCGTGCAGAAGATGTTAGAAATTCCTGTTCCACAACATGATCAAGAAAAGACAACAATTTATCATAATAACCATTAACATTTAACAAACCTATAGGTTTATGGTGAATGTGCAGTTGAGCCCAAGAGGAAATATGAAAGATCTCTTCCAATGTGCCGAGACCACCTGGTAAAGCAATGAAGGCATCAGCATGGTTAAACATTGCATTCATTCAATCTGACATTGTGGAGACCTGAAGTTCCTCTACAATTGTTTTTCCAATGATGTCCCCTTGTGCCAAAGTTTCAGGGATGACCCCCAAAACTTGACTACCTCCTAAAAATGCAGCTATTGACACACCTCCCATTAACCCAAGATTGCCTCCCCCATACACTAAATGAATCTTTCTCTCAGTTAGCACCTGGCCAAGATGATTTGCTGATTCTAAAAACTCCTTTTCTTTCCCAGGACTAGATCCACCGAAAACACAAATATTTCTTATTTGATGACCTGAGGAACTTGCCATTTCTACACACTTTTGTATTTGTTGAATGTATGGGTTGAGTAGAAATAAAAGGAAGGAAGAGAGGGTTTTATAGATGAGAAATGAGAAAGGCAATCATATTACCTATATGTAGGCCAGCTGGAGTCTCACACTCTCTCTCTCTCTTTTTATTTATTTATTTATTTACTTTTTGAAAAAGCATGTGTATGTACAGGTAGTTGTGATTGTGGCTCACATCTTCCCTTGGTTTTACGTTCAAGAACGGCTTAAACGCCCTCTATGGGTCGGGGATAGGCTTCCCATCCAATTTTCTTAAAAACTGGCAAACAGGGTCTTTTTTAATCAGATTCCCAAGACTAAGTCGATCATGTTCTTTATGAAATAGTGGCCATAAATCATGAATTGCATGATGCACATCTCCACTATGATGAGACTTAACAGTCAATAGAAGATTATCTAAAGACTCTCTGTGTTTTGAAATAAATCCCACATTTTGACAATTTTCACAATTTTTGCAGAATGCATGTGACTCCTTGACTATGGTGGGCCAGTAAAATCCACTTTGTAAGATTTCTACAGTTCTCTTTTTTGACGAGAAATGATCCCCACGTGCCTTAGAGAGACAAAATTTAATGAAATTACTTACCTCATTATCGGGAAAGCATCTTTGAAATATTTGATCAGGAAGATAATTGAATAAGTAAAGGTCATCCCAATAAAAGTTTTGCACGTTGCTCAAAAATTTTCTTTTGTCTTCGGTACTCCAGTGAGCTGGCAAAAATCCTGAAGCAAGAAAATTGATATTTTTAGCAAACCAAGGCATTGAACTAAGAGAAAGTAGAGATTCATCAGGAAAAGAATAATTGATTGGTGTGATGTCGGGTGTAGAATCTATTGTCACTTTTGATAAAAGATCCGCATCAACACTTTTGGTGCCTTTTTCATCATTGATGTCTTCCTGATTGGTCATGGCATGAGAAAATGGAAGTGCTGGCAGGGAATCAGTCTTTTCCTTGCAATATTCAGATTCAACCCCTTCCTTACCATTAGAGATTGACTCATCATCTTTCTCACAAGGTTCAAGAGTGGGTTTTTTAATAACCTTACCACTGCGAAGAGTGATGACTGATTTGACTTGATCCATGTGTTGACTTCCAGAACTACTTTCATTTGCATTGTATTGCCCCTTGGGATTTTGCTGTGGTTGAGATGGAAACTTACCTTTCTCTTGAAAATTGAGAGCAGATATGAATTTTGCAAGAGTATCTTTAAAATCTGTTATGCTTTGAGCAAGTTGAGTGTTGATTGTCTCTTGCTTTTCACTGAATGCATACAAAGTTTCCTCAAAATTTCTTGTAGGAGGTGGAGCATAAGGAGGTACATATCCATGATAATTTTGGAAATTATGATGTGCTTGAAACTGTGGTTGTGAAGTTTTTGCATTGTCACTCTTCCAACTGAAATTTTGGTGATTTCTCCAACCAGGGTTGTATGTTTGCAAATATGGGTTATGATTGGGCCTTTCAAAATTGTTTAAAGCATGGGCTTGTTCATGGAGACATTCGTTAAAAGAAGGCAAGGTTGGACAGTTACTAGTTGAGTGTTCATTTGTTTCACATATTTGACAGACAATGTTTTCAATAGATTTAAATTGACCACTCTTTTTCAATTCTAGTGCCTCGACTTTTCTAGCTAAAGATGCAAACTTAACTTGGAGGTCATGATCTTCCCTAAGGTTGTACATACCTCTACTAGATGTATGAGGTTGAGTTTTACTCGTTGCCTCATAAGTACCCGCGGTGTCCTAATTTTGAGCATTTTCAGCTAACAAGTCTAAGTACTCCATTGCTTCATCAGGGTCTTGATCTTCAAAAGTTCCATTGCACATCAATTCAACCATTTGCCTATCTCTAGGTGTTAACCCTTCATAAAAATGTGAAACCAATCTCCATGTTTCAAAACCATGATGAGGGCAAGTACTAAGCAAGTCTCGATACCTATCCCAACATCGATAAAATGTTTCTCCTGGTTTTTGAGTGAAAGTAGTGATTTGTCTTTTGAAAGAGTTTGTTCTATGAGATGGGAAAAACTTCTTCAAAAACTGTTGTTGCATTTCATCCCAAGCACGAATGGATCCTGGTCTTAAATTTTGTAGCCATGTTTTAGCTTTATCTTTTAATGAAAAAGGAAAAAGCTTTAATCTGATGGTGTTCATGCTACAATTTAAATTATTATATGTGTTGCAGACCTCCTCAAATTCCCTTAAATGCAAGTATGGATTTTCCAATTCTAAACCATGAAAAGAAGGTAAAAGTTGAATAATACCTGGTTTAAAATTAAAATGAGATGCATCAGGAGGAAAAACTATGCATGATGGTGCACTTGTTCTTGTGGGATTCATGTGGTCTCTAAGTGTTCTAGCACGGTTATTCTCATTATTCTCATTATGAAGTGATTGATTATCTTCTTCGGCCATATTTTCTGAAAATGATGAGGATACCCTACAAAGTCTACCACTTGATGTACGTGACCACACTCTCATGCACGTGTAGGAATAAAATAAAAAAAAAGAAGAAGAAAGCAAAAGAAGGAGGAAGAAAACAAAATAAAAAGAAACAAAAGAAAAGAAACAAAGTTATATACAAGAAAAGTGAAAAGAGAAAATAAAATAAATACTATAATTTATACAAGAACTTACCTCCCCGGCAACGGCGCCAAAAACTTGACACGACGAAAAGATTGATGTCTTCTCCCAAGTGCAGGAGTGTCGAAGTAATAAATAACCCGGCAAGACCGGGGTCGAACCACAGGGAGGTTAATTGTACAAATTATAAACAACAATTATAAAACAACAATAACAACAACAACAATAGTAATAATAATAATAATAATAATAATAATAATAATAATAGTAGTAGTAGTAGTAGTAGTAGTAGTA